TGTACACATGCATATAGAAACACACACACAAAGCATGCATATAGAAACACACACGTACACACATACACCAACATATCCTTAAACATAGATCTATATATTAAATTGAAATCAAACATTATGCGATTCGTAAGACGAATATACAGAGAGTAATAAAATTTCTCATCAATGGTACCGGTGCACAAAAAACACTTGAAAAAATTTGCAAGTAGAATCTTAATTAAATTGAACTGAAACATGAAATCTAATAAGAAAGTACCGACACGTACATCATACTGAACCATCGTAATAATCTTCATCGGTTATTATTGTTATTATTATTATAGTTGTTAATGTTGTGCTGTTGTTGTGTTGTTGTTGTCGTGTTGTTGTTGTCGTGTTGTTGTTGTTGTTGTTGGCTGTTTGAGATTTAGAGTCAAAAAACCAAGTGCACATTTTGCTTTGAATGGAATTATTTTTTTTTTTTTTTGATGAGATCACTTACTCAATGATGATTGATATAAAAGTTATCGTTAGTATTTTATAGTAGTTTGGATTATATTGTATTTGTGTTTGTATGTGTCAGTGTGTGGCGTATGTGTGTATGTGTGCGTGTGTGCGTGCGTGTGTGTGTGTGTGGTGCTGGTAAATTAATCAATGAATATTCATCAAGTGAGAAAGAAGAACAAGTACAAGCAGGGACTTCACCACTCTGAATCACCCCACCCCACTCACTTACCACACATGAGACGATCATAACTAGGACGGCAAAGAAAATAAAAAAGAGAAGAAAAGACACAATGAGAGAAAGACAAAAAGAGAGACAAAAGAGAGAGAGAGAGAAAGAGAGAGAGAGAGAGAAAGAAATAAAGAGAAAAAACGATGAAAAAGAACGACAGACCTCTGTCAAAGAAACATGAATAAAAAATGAAAAAATGAGAAGGCACGAGAAATAGAGAGAGAGAGAGAGAGAGAGAGAGAGAGAGAGAGAGAGAGATAGAAAGAGAGAGAGAGAAAAAGAGAGTGAGGGAGAGGAGATATTAAAAGTGAGTGAGAAAGAGATTAAAAGAGAGTGAGAGAGAAAAATTGAAATATTTATTGACGATGACGTTTTTGTGTGGTATGTCAAGTGAATTTTCTTGTTGTGCGTCTGAGTGTGTATGCCAATGAAGTGTATGATCCAAGGTTGTTGATTTGCCGATGTCTGTCACGATTTGAAGTTTTTCAATTTCTCAATTCTAATTTATTTCTCTTTCATGCTTTGCATAAATTTGGATTCGTTCGTTTTAAATTATAAAATGAATTCTAAATTCATTAACAATTATAGAAGCGTAACGGTAAGGCAGTGCGATACCCAGCTTATAAGAATGAAATATAACCTTCAAACAAATTCAAAAAGTTTTGAATTTTTTTTAGTTTCAAGTGTTGCTGTTACAAGTACACTGAGGTTTAAAAAATTAACAAGCAACACACACGGTGATTGTACTCGATGGTATCATACGATTGGTTGGCGAGTTAGCGAATGTCAGTATTTCGTTGCTGGTAAGTTGTTGAGTGATTAACAAAGCAAGATAAAAAATTGAATAATTTTTTCATACAAAAGTTTATTCGATGAAGCAATTTTATTCGAGGCATAAAAAAATCAAAAAACTTTACATAGCAAAACTTCGACAGCGTATTTTAATTGCCAGTAACAAATGGTAAAAAATGAAAAAAATTATTAAAGAATACTCATAGGTGGATAATACTATGAAAATTTTATAATACTAAAAAGCATTGCACGTTGTCAGAAATCAACATCGTCGTATGAGATATACCTGCCCCTCTGCAGCAGTTCCATGTTTTCTTGGCTCTTGCGTTTTTCAGTGGCACCTGTGGTCTCTGGAGCTGCGTTGTTAATCAACGGCGAAGTTGCTTGTGGTGGTTTGATACTTTTCAAGTTGATTGGAAGGCTGAACTGGACTACGGTGGTTTTTTGGCTTCTTGAAGCTTCTACCAGTGGCTGAATCAAAGTTTTCGCAGTTGGTGTTTGGCTTTGTTTAGGAATTTTTTGCTGAAGCTGCTGCAGGGAACGTTGCATAATCTGGTGCGGTGTCTGCTTTTGAAACTCGTTTGATTGCGGCGTTTGTTTCAAAAGCTTCTGTGGTTGTTGTTGCTGCTTCTGTGGTTGTTGTTGCTGCTGCTGTGGTTGTTGTTGCTGTTGTTGATGCTGTTGTTGTTGTTGATGCTGTTGTTGTTGTTGTTGATGATGCACATGCATTTGTGGACGTCGAGGTTGTGAAGAATGGATTGTAGCTTTTTTATTGGCTTCAATAAGGCCACTACTGCCTTTGAATTGCTTCCCGTCATCTTTGGGCCAAATAAAAATTTTGTTGTGTGACGTTGAAAAACTCAAGTTTGCTGGTGAAACATTGTGAAAATTAAT